GCTCTACTCCTTTAAACATTTTTTTTTTTTTTTTTAAACAGTAATTTTACTTACCATAAATTCTATTTTCCTTAGTAGAGTGACAGTACTGCACAAGTGGGTTGTTCCCTCTTATGTGGACAAGAAGCTCTGAAAAGATATAAAAATGTAAATACTCCTGCCTACCTGCTCATAAAAGGCAGTAACCTCCTTCCATCCACAGTTTTCTAAATAACCATACGGAGACCAAATACTGCAAAAAATATTTATTATCCAATGGGAGGGAAAGATTGGAGTACTGCCGCTCTACTAAGGAAAATAGAATTTACGGTAAGTAAAATTACTGTTTTTCCTGTTGTAAGTGGCATATAGCAAGATCCCTTAAAGGACAACTATAGTGCCAGGAAAACATACTCGTTTTCCTGGCACTATAGTGCCCTGAGGGTACCCCCACCCTCAGGGACCCCCGCCCGCCCGGCTCTGGAAGGGGGAAAGGGGTAAAAACTTACCTTTTTCCAGCGCTGTGCGGGGAGCTCTCCGCCTCCGATCCTCCCCGTTGGCTGAATGCGCATGCGCGGCAAGAGCTGCGCGCGCATTCAGCCGGTCGCATAGGAAAGCATTAGCAATGCTTTCCTATGGACGCTTGCGTGCTCTCACTGTGATTTTCACAGTGAGAATCACGCAAGCGCCTCTAGCGGCTGTTAATGAGACAGCCACTAGAGGATTTGGGGGAAGGCTTAACCCATTCATAAACATAGCAGTTTCTCCGAAACTGCTATGTTTATAAAAGAATGGGTTAACCCTAGAAGGACCTGGCACCCAGACCACTTCATTAAGCTGAAGTGGTCTGGGTGCCTAGAGTGGTCCTTTAAGGCAATGGGTGGTTAATTAGTAAGTCACAGCTTGGTGCACCTTTCGCCCAAAAGCAGCTTCAGAGGAGGAGAATATGTCCAGCTTGTAATGCTTTATGAAAGTGCGGAGCGAAGACCAAGTAGCAGCTTTACAGATATCTTCAGGAGAAGCCGATGACCTCTCAGCCGAGGAAGTAGACATGGCTCTGGTGGAGTGTGCTTTGACCGGAAGGTGAAGGGAGACATTGCTGGTTTTATAGGCCAACCTAATTGCCTCAGTAAGCTATCTGGCTAATATAGATCTGAAAGCCATCTTGCCTTTAAATGCACCTTGAAAATGAATAAATAGATTGTCAGAAATCCTGTAAGGAGTGATCTGTGGAGGTATATTTCCAAGGCCCTTTTAATATCTAGGCAGTGCCAATTCTTCTCTTTTTCCGTAGAGTGGTCTTGACAGAAGGAAGGCAGAACAATAGGCTGGTTGAAGTGCAGTTGAGAAACCACTTTAGGTAGAAATGAAGGTCTGAGGTGTAATTCCACCTTTTCTTGGTGAAAGACATAGCTTGCAGTTCCCCAACCCTTTTTGCTGAAGTAATTGCTACAAAGAAAATGATTTTAAAAGTCAACGTCTTCAAAGAAATCTCTTGCAAAGGTTCAAAGGGGGAATTGCACATCGCCTTAAGTACTACTGACAAATCCCCGGTGGGAAAGGCAGAAATACCAGGAGGATGTTTTAGATAAACAGACTTAAAGAATCTATGAAGAAGCCTGTTGGATGCCAAATCTGCTACCATAAAATGACTGAGGGCAGAAACTTGTACTTTAAGCAATGATACACTAAGGCCAGAGTTGAAGTCTAATTGAAGAAAAGCCAGGATATAAGGAATGGAAGACCAACCATCTTCAATATCCTTCGATAAGTACCACTGTAAAAACTTTTGCCAGATCTGGAGGTAAATCTTAGTGGTAGAATTACGAGTGGAATAAAGGAGGGTGTCACAGATGGAGTCTGAAATACCCTGCTCCTTGAGAATTATCCTTGCAGCAGCCAAGCCATCAATCGAAACATCCTCAAAGTTTCCATAGGGACGTCTGGGTGTTCCAGTAAGGTTGGAGAGCAAGGAAGAACCCAATGAGAGACGGCTAGCCCTTGCCTTGTCTGCATCGATTTTCTGTACAATTCAAGCTATTAATGCTACTAGAGGGAAGATGTACGCCATCTTGAATTTCCAAGAGATTGAAAATCCATCCAGAATTAGAGAGAGATCTTGTTTCTTAATGGAAGCAAAGTTTCTTACTCTTGCATTCAGTCTGTTGGCCATAAAATCCATCTCTTGAATGTATCTGGATAAAGGGGCAATTCTGTCCGAGTCCAGAGTTGCCTGCTAAGATCATCTGCCACTATGTTGTCTGAGCCTTTGATGTAAGTTGTTGAAATGGACTCCAGTTCTATCTAAGCCCAAGCCATGATCTCAGCACAGAGCCTTTGTAGTGTTATTACCTTTGTACCGCCCTGACGGTTCAGGTAAGAGACAGTAGTGAGATTGTCTGACTGAATTCTTACTGATTTGTTTCAGGTTTCTAGATTAAAAGCTAGAAGGGCATTCCAAACAGCTTTCAATTCCCTGTAGTTTGAAGACTGAGCAGCTTCCATTTGGGACCAGGAAACTAGGTGACAGAGTGATCCCAGATGTGCACCCCAACCTGTGACTGATGCATCTGTATTTTTGGTGATCCAATTTCTTTGCTTGAATGAGTGACCGATTTTCATGAATTTTTTGTCCATCCACCAATTTAGTTGATTTTTTACTCTGAGATTTGAATCAATTCATCCAGATCTTCTTCTATTTTGGACCATTTTGACAAGATGTCCCATTGCAGAGATCTGATCTGGGAGCTTGCCATCTTGGGATGGTGGATGTAAGGAGCTCTAAGCAGCTCATTGCTTGTCTGACCGAACATCAATTCTTTCTCTGAAGAATAAAAATCTCTTGTTTTATTCTTCTTAGTTTCTTTCCTGGCAAAAATATTTTTTTGACCCACTGAATCCACCAGCAGGCCTAGAAATAGTACCAACTCTGATTTTTTTGGAGTTTATTATCCAATCATGAGCCTGCAAAAAATGAATGGTAAGCAGAAGATTCATTTCCAGCTGTTCTTTTGATTCTGCCTTCAGCCGCCAATCGTCTAAGTAAGCAACGAGTGCAATGCCCTTTATTCTCAGTACGGCTGTTAAAGGTAGAAGAATCTTCGTGAAAATACGAGGAGCTGAAGATAGGCCGAACGGAAGTGCCCTGAACTGGAAATGGAGAAATTTTTGTTTGCCTGATTTTATTGAAAATCTGAGAAACCGTTTTGAGCTTGCGGCCATAGGCACATGAAGATAGGCATCCTTGAGATCTATTTTCGCCATGTAATCCTCCTTTTGAAGAATATGAGAGACTGAAAGGATATTTTCCATGCGGAATTGTTGGTATGGAATGCAGGAGTTGACAGTTTTTAGATCTAGAATAGGACGAAAACTTTTGTCTGTTTTTTTGGCAAGAAACAGGCAAGAGTATACACCTTGGAACTCTTGGTGTTTTGGTACTTTTTCTATGACTCATTTATTTAGGAGTGTCAGTGAGGCAGTGAGAAGGGCTTCTGACTTATGTTTTGAACTGTATGTTGACACCAGGAATGTTGAAGTAGGGGTGCATGTAAACTTTATTCTGTAACCTTCTTCTATAGTATGCCATATCCAACTGTTGGAAGTAGTTTCTTTCCATTCCCACTCTTCTAGTGTCAATATTTCCTTCTTTTATCCTGGTAGCCCAAAGCTGTTTTGGATTGATATTCTCTCTTGCCTTCACAAAATGGTTTCCAAAACCTCCTAGATTTATCTTGAAACTGAAAGGATCTTTCACAAAAAAGTAGACAGAATCTTTGTCTTGGTCGCTTCTCTTTTTATTAAGCTTGAGAGATCCATAAGTCTTTATTATATCATAGTAAACTAATAACAGCTTACTTGTTCTAATTAATACAAATTTATTTAAACAGAGTGAGTATAAAAGAAGCTAATTGCATGCATCTTTAGCACACATTTATACTTTTCAATCACGTTTTTTAGTTGAAAATTAGTCTCAGATCCATACATACTCAGATTGGTTTCTACAGGGTGCCCTTCTGCACGCTTATCCATACGCTCCTTTAAACCTTAAATTTTCCCTATAGGAATGGTGGTTTTCTTGGAGAGCGAGGCTACCTGGATGTCAACTTTCAGTAGAACTTCCCATCTTTCTTCACTTTGTAACTTAAATGTTTTTTTTAAGTGTTTAGGAACAAAAGCCTGTCTTTCAGGATTTTTCCACTCCCTCTGGAGCAGCTCCAGAATTCTGGGATTAGTAGGGAAGCCTTTTGCCTTACTTTTAGTGGGTTCCATTCCCTGAAATAAGGCAGCAACTTCCTTAACCAATTTTTTTAAGTTCCTCTGGAGGATTAAGGTTAGTAAACTTAATACAAAAATGCTATTTGAGCATTTTTGTAGTGGGGACTGATGGAATAATGCCACTAGGTCATTATTCAATCATCAGGAGAAAAGGGTTGGAGAGACCATTTTGCTAATTGAGCTACATTATCTAATCATCTAGCAAATATTGCTGAAAGGGAGCTACATTGGTAAAACTTTGTGCAAAAAAATAGACAGAATCTTTGTCTTGGTCACTTCTCTCTTATTAAGCTTGAGAGATCCATAAGTCTTTATTATATCATAGTAAACTAATAACAGCTTACTTGTTCTAATTAATACAAATGTATTGAAACAGAGTGAGTATAAAAGCTAATTGCATGCATCTTTAGCACCTATTTATACTTTTAAATCACGTTTTTTAGTTGAAAATTAGTCTCAGATCCATACATAGTCAGATTGGTTTCTACAGGGCGACATGTGGTTTTTTAAAAAGAAACAATCATCATTAGATATTTATGGACAAGACTGTACTTCTGGAGCATTCCTGAAATACTTTTTTTTCTTTAGGTATAACTGGAAAGAATGACAGGACAATAAACGCATTCCACTTCCCTTACAGTTGTTAAGCCCTATGGAAATCTTGATAATGAAACTCATACTTGTGAAACATTTCCAGATAAAACAGTGCATTGTAGCAAGACAGTCATCGATTCTGATGAGAACAGATTCTGGCTTTGTGATGAGCCTTTTGGATTTAAAGGATAGTGTTAAAATGAGGGGACATGGCACCCGCACCACTTAATTATGGTGAAGTGGTTTGAGTGCCCATAGTGTCCCTTTAAGAGCACTCAATTCAAATTTTTACCCAATCTGCTTCTACATAGGCTTGGATTATTTTAGAACTCTGTAAGAGTTAATTTAAGACAAAGAGAAAAATATCCTCTCAGACACTGATGGTATTTATTACTATGAAAGTATTTTGGCTTTTACTGATCTGACATGATAAAAATGTCTAGGTCTATTATATGCAATAAAAGATAAAAAAAAAAAGCAGTAGGATAGTAGCATAAAAGTATACAAGCATAAAAAAAGTTGTGGTGAGACTTAACATGATAAAACTTTCCACGGATGTAGCAGAGTTTTTCATGCTTGGTCTCACAATAACTTATTTAGTACTTGGCGTTATGATGCCATAACAGTGCTAATAGGGCTAAAAAAGGTCTGAACTGGTCTTTTTGGATCACAACCAATGCTTTGGTTTAGCTGGGTTTGCGGTTCTTCGTTGTTAAGGGAAAATTAAGTCTGATGCCTGATGTCTTGGATCAAGGACTGGGTCTGACTGCACAATTGCACACAGTGGCTTACTTCTCTACCATTGCAGGCTCACTTAGGAAGTAAATAACTTTTGTTTCTGTTTACGCAGACCTATCCACACTTCCCCTGGCTGTGACTCATGCAGCCTCCATGAAAGGTTTCATTTGCAATCAGATGTGACAACACAAGGTGTTTACTTTAAAAGTTATTTCCTGCTCTGTTAACTGGACTTGATTCACACACAGGAGGCTCCTGTGTGCTCTTCAAGGCATTTGACAGAGCAGGAGATAAATTCTAAATAAAACAGACTGTGCAATAAGAGAAGTTTAACTATTAGATCTCTCTTTACAGGAACTGTGTAGAGAGACTGTGTAGGTCACATGCAGGGGAGGTGTGGCTAGGGCTGTATAAACAAACTGATTTCACTCCAAAATGGCAGAAACTCGAGCAGTAAGACTGCAGGGCCATGATCTATGCATTGAAACTGCTTAATTAAAAGAACACTATAGGCACCCTGACCACTTCATCTAATTGAAGTGGTCTTTGTGGTGTGACCCTGCCCCTCTTAGCCCTTCAATGTAAAATATTGCAGTTTTAGATAAGCTACGTTTACATAACCGTGCTAATACTGCCTCTAGTGGCTGTCTACCAAACAGGTGCTTAAATCAGTTTCACAGAGTTTGACTCAGAGAAACAATGCTGGACATTCTCATGCTTTGCATGAGGACATCCAGCGTCAAGCAAAACCCCATTGGAAAGGATTTAATTTAATGCTTTCCTATGGGAAGGCCTCATGCACTCGTGCCACACATGTGCATTAGGTCTCCCCATTGGCAGAGGAGAAGCGTGACCCAGCCCGAGGGACATTGGTGCTGAAATCAGGTAAGTGACAAAGTTTTTTAACCCTTTCATGGATAGGGTAGGGAGAGGTGTTTAGGGCAGAGGGACACTTTAGTGATAGGAATGAATCTTTGCATTCTGTTAAGGATAAAACAACAGACCATCAGCCATCTTTGATACAAGCTTTCATCTTGTTTATAGATTATGTATTTAAATTGAGCAAAACAGCAGAATTAGCAAATAATGGTTTGAAAAACAAGCCCACTCCACCTGGCTACTTTGCCACTAAAACACCCAAGATAAGGATGTGTTGGTCTTGGTATCTTGTCGTACCACCTGCTGAGCTGCCTAAACACGTAAACATGCTTGCTAGTCACCTACACTAAAATGTTCTGTAAAGCTAAAGTGGTTTTTGGACTTAGTGTCCCTTTAAAATTATTTTGCAAGCACTAAGATTACTTGCTGTGTATTTTTCCAAGGTCCTACTTGAGATATGTAGATGATGCACAATGGTAATTTTACAGCAAGACAGGAGTCTTCATATTTTCTTATACCTTCTTTATTGACACCTCCAGCAGCAAAGAAACAGTTCACACGGTCAGTAAAAAAACAACCAGAATGAGGTAAGGCTCAACGGGACCATCCCACTTTCTATTTATTTGCTGCTGCCTCCAGGTGAGCAACCTCCATATAAAAGAGTTCTCAGATTGTTTTTACACTCGGTTTGCATTTTTTACTTTTCAGTTCTGATGCTCTTGTGCTTTGTCTGGGGTTGGTCTTGGATTTGTTTATTATCGTTTACACAATTATTTATTATATTTTTGTTTGGTTTGCTACTTATTCTCTATCCCACTGGGGTGTTCCCCTCCTTATGGACCCTGTTTAATCACAATCATGGCTGTCATGTCCGCTCCACGATTTTGTCTTGTGCGGCCCACCTCCCTACTTGAGCCTGGGAGGCTCTGCTCTTTCCGATTGGCATTTTTCTGACCGCAACGGCGACCACCTTGGTTGCGCCAGCACTCCCAGGCAGAGTCCCTTGCAACTGCACCTCGACTGGTTGTGCTGCCGGTAGCTCTAATGTTATTCCTCCCTCCTATAACAGAATATGCTCTGAACCCTCGGTACAAGGGGGAGTTTTTTGTACTGCACAGTTTACTCTATTTTTTGATTGAACAGTGTCTTGCACATATATGTTACTGACTGTGCATTTACTGGCCTTACTGGTGGTTCCAGCACTGTATTACCACTATTATAATCCTGGGTAACCCCCACTCACATAATTTCTTTTAAGTACTGGGACGTACTTGTTTTTGGCCCTACCTGTAATTGCCACCTGTTTACTGCTTTTGTCGAGGGTGACCCCCCCTATGTGTATTTGATCCTAGGATCTTCCTTGTTCTAAGGTAACATTTGTTTGAATTGTAGAGGTAAGTATTCAATGTGCCCTCAGACCTACAGGAGTGGTTGTGTTCAGCTTTCACTACTCCCTTTCTATAGCGCTGGCTGCGCTTTAGTCTGAGTCGGCCCCTCAAGCACCAATCCCTATGATCTCCAATGAGTGCCTATTGACTAACTGAGGTGCCTCTTCCATTGAGGGGAGGGCTCCCTCGAAACTGGCGAGTCTCAAATCCTGCTGCTACAGCCAATAGGTCTTTGCTTCCTGTTGTGGCTTAGATGAGCACTACACAATTTGATATGGGCTTCATTATATTAAGGGTATGGCCTTTTATGGCCACACTTCCAGCTACATCCAGGAGATGTCCAGATCCTTTACTGTACGTATTCCATCTCGGTTCAACCACCTGACAGCCCAGTGCAGATATTGTAATTTGAATCTGGACAACCGCTACACCCAAGATATCCTGCTGATAATCAGCAGACCACTGACCTGGACCCTCTTATTGGTGAATAAGGCACTCATTGTGGGTATTTCTGTGGACACTCGCCTCCTTCAGGATGATCTTTGGACTTTGGGAACAAATTTGTCTCTGAACTGCCTCGTTGGTCTCCTCAGGTTCAAGTTAGGATCAGTCAATATTCAAAATAAGAGGACAGCAAACACAAATATAGTGAAGTAAGTTCTTCGATGAGGGAAGTATGAAAACTGTTTTTTGGGAGCTTGGGCTGTATAGCCCCACCTGTTGGTCCAAAGGCGTCTTGGAAGATATATCAGGATCCTGATTTGATAAAGCATACGGTTTGGCGAAACATGTTTTTATTTCTAATGACATTTCTGTATTTTATACTTAACTTGGACATTCCTGGCTGTTTCTAGAAGATTTTATCCAGAAGATTCTTCATAATCCTTGGTGGGGGTTATACCACCTAAGCTATTAGGATTGAGCAAAGTTTTGCTCTTCTCCTGTGAGTACTGTAGCGGAGATACAATATTCCCCAGGTTATCTCCGCTTAAGATCCCAGTGAGGCTCAGGAACAAGTAAATTATAAATCCCCAGGCAAGGTTTCCAACAGGCAAAATAATCCAATAGTATCCCCACAGCAATCCCAATGACTGGACGACACACAGCATCAGGAGCAGAACTGAAAGCTTTATTCCACACTGGCCTTTTAAAGCATGCTCCCATGCAAGGGAGGGATTACATTCATTAATACATTAGCCAATCTCCTCCCCTCAGCCGGCATCATAATCCCCTTATCCAGTACAGCAATTCCCCCCGTTTCTGGATGTACCCCTAAACCTAGGGGTACCCCTTTAAATTATGCATCCCCTGGTAACCCTGATCTGGGTGAACAACATATCCAAAAATCACCCAGATCAGACCAGGGGTCCGGGAATTTCATGGAGGGAATAAAATGACCGACCGCACTGGATGAACTAGCCGAATTGGACTCCATGCGATTGGGCCCTGCGGTCGGTCCTGGAAAAGGCGAATGCAGTACCTGAAAGCCTCCAGATTTAGAGGCTTGGGAGGGTTCACCTGAATCCCCTCGTTCGGTTGATTATGCCTACCGAACGAGGGGCCGTTCGGAAGTTTGGAACCGAACGGACCGGGCTGATGGAGGTTCCAGCGGTGTTCGCCTAGTCGAGTGTCCGTTTTGAGTTCCAGACACTCGACGGCAAGACACCGCTGTTCGGGAGTTTAAGATGGCCGCCGCCACGTGTTCATTTCCCGAATGGCGGCCACCCTCAAAAACAAAGGATTGCTACACAGCTTGTCAATTACCAGTTCGCAACAATTTTGCAACAGGTAATTGAAGGCACACTTCACACAGGGGAGGTCTGACTGTTCGGTAGTTTCATTCGAACAAACTAAGGGAATGAAACTACCTAACATTCAGACGAATCCAATACATTTTACACATAGAACTTAGCTATTTTACCCAAATGCATTCCCTTACTGCATAGACATTTAGCAAACAGACGAATACAGGTTAAACATAAAGTAAGTCCCAGGGCAGCTCATGGCCATCCGCTACAAGTACCTCTCACTATTAGTTTTATTTCTTTCATAAAACATGCGCATTGGTGAATTGCTACTACCAAACATGGAAGTAAGGATTCCTAAACGCCTCTAGCGAGACAGGATCCTGATATAGCATCTTCCAAGACTCCATTGGACCAGCATATCCACAGGCAGGGATTGTACTACCCAAGCGTTAATACTTGGAGCTGAACAGTAGCTCTAAAAAAAAAAAAAAAAAAAGTATACTTACCTAACCAATTATAAGAACATACCAGACTATAATGGGTTTCCTAATCCTAACTTGAATCTTAGGACACCAATGAGGTGCTGCGTTCCTTCCACTATTCTTGTACTGTACCTCTCACCAGAATGAAGAGACTCTGGCCTGCCTACCCATACCTCCATAAGCTCTTGAAATATTATTTGTTAAATGGTTTAATCAGTATTGACTGGATCAACATTTCTCGATCAGGTGGAATACTTTCTAGGTCAAGACACCTTTGTCGTGAACTGGTTCTCCTGTCATGGGAGGGAAGCCAACGACTGGTTACACCAGAGTGTTTTTCGTCTTCTGGATTTTTTGGCATCGTCCTCTTCATCTGGATCTCTTTTGCCAAAAAACAAACACGAGTCCTGCGCATCCAGTATAGATGTGCACACCCAGGTGCTATCACAATTTATTTGAGGACAAAGTTAATGCAGCAAACGTTTCGAGCAGCAGCCCTTTCTCAATGCTAATGTCTCTTTTGCCTCCAGAGTAAAGCAGCAAATGAAACGGTTCTATGGTTTGCATCCATTTCCGGTATGCTAGGTGGGGGACGCATTACTCCCATGTAAGCCCCTTTGTCAACAACATGTTTTTCCCCGGTCTCTGTGATTTTCCACTTTTTGAAATGTCAGAGTATGTTAATTTTTTTATATTTCTCTTTTCCCCTCTATGTGGGACTGAACCATGGCTCCCCACTTTTGCTGGAGTTGTCCTGCGACAATCCTCTCATCATTTTCCCCATTCACTTTATCTCATGCTAGACCCGGATGAAGCGCCTCTTCAACAGCTGTCTCAGGATTGTCTATCCTTGGTGACCTGTACTGGTTTCTGGGGATCATGGAGGGAGTCGGACATATCGGCAGTGGCTCGAGATTTGCTGGGCTACAGGCACCAGAAGTATTATCTTCAGCTTTACAGAAAGGGGTTTGGATCTAATTTCTACCCCTATTATGGCCATCTTGAACTTGCTTTCTCATACAGAAAGTCTTACAGAACGATTAACATCATTCGTTTGGCTATCTCTGTGGCCCATGTACAGTCTCAGGGCTCTGCAGTGGGGGAGAATTCCACAGTTTGTAGATTGCTCCATAGAATTAGAAATGCTGACAACAGTTATTAGTTGAATCTATTTATTTTTAAAAACATTAAGATGGGAATCAATGATCATAATGGCTTCAAATAAATAATTGCTTGTCTTAAACTTCATAACAATGTAACAAGGGGGTTTTCATTAGGAAGCTAGTAAAAGATTTTGACATATGGTTGCGGTGTTTAATATGCTCAGATGGTTAACATGAAATTTCAGAGAAAAGCTTCTGACAAAACGTCAATTGGTTCCTAGGTTATTATTGGTTTAGGTATACATTAAGAAAAAGTATGGTTTTAAATATATTTTCTATATTTTTTCATTTTTAAGCATAATTCTTCTACTACCGTGGCTGCTCTGACATGCCAAACATTGGAGGAGTATCACATCATAACCATAAATCCATGTTGAAAAATGTAAAAATAATAAATGCTTAGTTCTAAATATTGTAATTTATTTATTTTTAGTAGATATGCTGATGTACGTATTCTCAATTTCTTATGTTTCTCAGCCTAATTCAATAAGAATCTGCCACCATGCATACAATAACTGCCCCGTAGTTTAAAAATCTGAAGAAACATACATAAAATATAAAAAATTAATTTACATAACTCAAAAAAAAAAAAACTCGTTATTAAAGAAGATTTAATTTAAATTATCTAGAAACCGTGATGAGAGCAACAACTGTGTTACATGAATTAATGTGGATTGAACAATGCATAGAATTGTAAAGGCTAGGACTGTGTAATCTGCAAAGTTTCCAACATATCTTCAACGGCCTTTAAAGATGACTGGGTGTCTTTCATAGCACGACCTGCAAGCTAAAGACAGAACAGAATTATTAATTATGAGAACAATCATAGATGTTAATGAGCTGAATGTATGATACACTGCACGCTGACGTAACTGTGGGTTATTAACCAACTTTAGAACAATTGACAAAAGGTATTGTAAGTTTTAGACCAAAATAACCAAGCTTGATAATTTTTTTTGTAATTTGTCCAAATAGGCCTAAAATTGATAAAATTTCCTTGTCAAATCTCCACAATTTTATGTTACTATGCAATGAATTTAAACCTCTTTCAACCGTCAACCCTCCTTCACAGAGGACATAATGCTCCCAGAGACAACCTCTTTATTATGGTTCTATTAGAGATCTGGGATAGGCAGAGAATAAACCACTTTTTGGCAAGTTCCCTTCACTGGAATTTTCCCGATTTCCCTTTTAGCCCTGGGATCAAGTTAGGCCATGCAGCCTCACTCATACAAGCACCTAGAAATAGGTACATCCTGGCTTAGCAGGGGAAGCAAGAGATTTAAAGGAATTGGTTACAGATGGCCCTCTCAGGGTCCATCATTTTCATATTACTTATGTTCATTCCCTACAGTGATTGTACAATCTTTCTCAAACTGGCACTGATTTTGAGACTTATTCAGTGCAGGATTCCACATTGGTTACTCATCTACAGACATAACCCACTTCCCCACTTCACAAGGTCTTGGGAAGATAATGTGTCCATCACTTTTACTGATCAGGACTGGGGGGAAAAACATTCAGCATGACTCATTACTATTTTGCATCTGTTGACACAAAGGAAACAGTATACAATTTGTAGGCCAGGTGGTAATACACCCTGAGCAATCTCTATAAATAGGACTAAAAAGGTCAAACCTATGCTCCCAGCTTGGAGAGATCGAGGGTGCATTATTACATCTGTGGTGGGATTACAAGATTGCGGAAAAGTCATTAGCATAATTTCTCTTTTAGTGTTCTCACCCATTGCATTTTAACCAGGGTTTATAGTCTGTTGCACATCATACCCAACCTATTTCCAAAACACAGGAAATTGTTGACAATTAGGCTGCTGAATGTGGCAAAATCATTTTTTTCTCTAAATCAATGACAGCTAACTAGGCGGCTTACATGTCCCACAACTCCCCTTTTTATCTCTTCACCTTCCTGATTATTATTATTGCCATTTATATAGTGCCAACAGATTTCGTAGGGCTATCATGATACCGAACCTTATTATTTTGTTGTGTAATTAAGACAGTCTTGTCAAACAATGATTTAAGTAAAAAAACAAAAACAAACCCTACCTACTGTCCCATACCTTGATGCTTTTCCCATAGTAACTAATTGATCGTAGAATAACTTTTCCGCTTAATCTGAGCAGTTAAACAGACGTTTTTCCAGACGGATAACACAGCAGCAGAAGAAAAGATTAACAATCGTGTGCACCATTAAACTAAGATTTAATTTCCACTCAGAAGTATTACTCAGGAAGAAATTAAGCCAAGTCAATTATATCTTCCTATAATTACACTTTCAGGCTGCACTATTAGTGGATTGCAAGTCTTTGAATAGAAAGCTGTTGAGCACGTCATGCTGATTTTAAAATGAGTTTTCTAATGACACTGACAACCACCATCACTCACCAGGCTTATTATACAAAATATATTAAGTAGTTAAATTGCTGTTTTTGTCAGTGAAAGGCAGATTTTCAATATATTAGCAGTAAACTAGGATTTTCTCTAGAGAACACTGCAGTAATTTGCTTTTAGTAAGGGAAGCCATTTCTTAACTTAATGCGAATATTTAAACACTTAATAAATTTTCGATATATATGTTTATTTTCTGCGACCCAGCACATTACTGCTTTGATTTATGACTATTCTGCAGATTTAACTTCATTTGGTAAGCTCACTTGATATGTGGGTTGGGATCAAGTGATCAAGAACAGCTCCAGTGAAGCAACAGCAAGACCCAAAAGTGGTTAACCTGCACCTGACCTTCCACGAACCATCAAGATCAATCAATTGCTGGGAACACTTAACGTGTACATTCGTGTATCTAGAAGGATTTAAAGTAGCAGTAGTGTACCACTTCCCCTGTGTACGCTGCTCCTGTGGCGTAATGTCAAATTGGAATTAAGACCATGTTTTCAATTGGGCTGAACAGTCATATAATGGAAATAAAATGATAAAGGATCAAAAAGTAACATTGCATTTCTAAATGGAATTCCCTGGCATTGTCATTACTTATGTATTTTTGATTTCTCCTCTTCAAAAACTATGTGCATCCTGAACAGCAATGTATCATGACTGATAAACGGATTTTTGTGAAATCAGAAATGCTATGTGAATTTACTGCACGCCCATTTAAAGAGCATCATCAATTTCTACAGTTTACAATTGGGACATAAAAATATATATATATATGAAATATATTATGATCATATTATGTAACTAAACCCCCATTATTTTTTACCTAGACATCATACAACCAAGTGAACAAAATGTATAAAATACCTCCAGATACCAAACATGGAATTCTTCTCCCCTGATACATGCTTCCCAATAATGTAACTTTTACATTGTTAGACTAGGGCTAGTGTGTTAAGAGTAGGGGCTGTGTATATAGAATTGTGTGTGGCTTAATTGGTAATGTTAGGGTAATATAGACAATGGTTTGTGCTTGTGAAGAGTAAGGGTTAATGAAAGGTCTTTACTAGTAGGGTAGCACAACGGCATTCATGTCCAAGTGTAGCACAAGACAATTGTTATGGTCCCTTTTGGCAGCTATTTCAGCTGCTGCTTGGAAGTGTAACTGCCACTAACATTGGGCATACCGTGAAATGTCTGTTGGTGTTCTAGCTGAGATTGGGGTCTCCAGATTGCATTGAGGTGATTTCTGCATTAATGCAAGACCAGTATCTAGGGCTGAATGCCTTAAAGGGAAACTATAGTGCCAGGAAAACAAACTCTTTTTCCACTGTAGCTTCCACCCCCTGTTAATAACCCCTTCTGTCACTTACCTGGGTCCAGCAGCGCTGACTCAGCTCCGCCCACGCTCCTCCCTCAACGACATCCGCCAGTGGGGGGAGAGCTAATGCGAATGCGCAGCAATTGCCACGCTCGCATTAGGATTTCCCATATGAAAGCATTATTCAATAGACAGCCACTAGAGGAGGACTTAACCCTAGCAGGTAATTAAAAACTGCATTAATTACCACTCTAGGGTTAAGGGTGATGGGAGTTGGCACCCAGGCCACTTCAATGAGTTGAAGTTGTCTAGGTGTCAATAGGGTCCCTTTACGTGTAACAGAAACACCAACCAGAGCAACATACATATTACATTCTAGATATTGTGATGAGGTGTAAATGTACATGTAGACACACAATAGCATACACAGGCTGATGCTGTACATAACCATGATACTGGATTACCCTGAGCAAACCCAGACCTAATTTTAGACACTGTATCTTTGCCTGCTCTGAGTGCTTTAGGTGTAATCCACCTTTTATATATTCCCATAACTGCCCACCATGATAAAAGGCTTTGAACTGCAATGTGGATTACTTTTTATTTCCACTTTCCTAGCTGATAAACTAGAACTACGCCTGGCCAGAGGGAGAACAGAACGTCTTTTCTTCTGCCTCTCCCCTTCCATTCCCAGGCAAACAGGAATGGTCCTAATCTGATGCGTCGGGAGTTCCAATTCCTTCAAGAAATAGCTTTGATGCGAAAAAAAAAAAAAATGCAATCTTTAATGCTTGGGAATCTTTCGATAAAATCAGAGAGGCTTTTGAAGAAAAGAGGTCAGATTTCTAAGCTTTGAGAAAACATTGCAGAGATAATGCTAAAATATTAAAGTATAGGAGCAGATGAAATAATGCTTAAAACAATATTCGTATAACTATAGTTCGCAAGGGGCATTCATTTCGA